AATTACATCTGTTAAAAGCTCTTAACTACAACATGGGCATTTTTCAGTGTTATAAACATATATACATATATATTATATATATATACCTTATGGTGAACAGGTGGTGGAAGGCCTACATGTGCTGGATCTGCATAGTCATATTTCAAGAGCCGTGTAAATTTCAAGCAACAAGGAAATAGGCAATACACAATACATTCTTCGTGCAACTGCAGAGTAGTTTGTATGTTATACACACACCATGGCAGGCAAGATGCCAAGTGTCTTGTATAACTGGTGTAACCGGGTTATTTTGCGTGCTCAGTAAAAACTGCCTTGGGGGCTTAAGATTAATATGCAGAGTTTGCACTTCTGAGGGGTTTTCATCAGATTTGAAAGGAGCTGCAATCAGAAAATATGTATATACATGTACAACACACTGAATATTGAAAACATGCATGCTCACCAGTAATGAGAAAGAAGAAAACCAAAACTCCTACAACGATCATTACAAATGCTGGTACAAGAAATGACCAGGACCTGAGAATAGGGAAGGGAGATCATGTTCTCAAAATAAAACTCAGTCGGGTATGTCCAGTATTACTTTGAGCTACAGGTAGCCCAGTGTTTTTCAATGTGTTAGACAAGCACTGCATACATACTAGAGGAATGCTGGCGAGTAAAGCAAGCTGTTCGATTTGTAGTGTGTTTCAGGCGGAAATAGATTGACGTATAACATTACGGTATATGTGGCAGTGCCCTATACAGAAAAATTCCGATGAACAATTTCGATGAATAGGAAGGATCGCTTCGCTCGCCAATTACATTTCCCCCCATGTGGCAGCACAAAAACTTACGTATGGTGCAGCTCTGAAAGTTCTGTGCATGCTTGCTGGTTTGCAAACTTACATTATACAAACACTCTGGCTGTATTCCCATGCTTTTGAAAATGCACTAAAGATAACCCTCAGTGACATGAAAAGCAAAGCAAAGCAAAGCAAACCCGTGGTGCATTAGAAACGTGTATGGGTACCATAGGTACTGCTAATTGAGATCATTATTCTTATTATTTCATTGTAACCTTCTTGTAAAGCTAGTAGATCTCCTACTAGTAAGACAGATGGAGCACTCACTCCACTCTTGTAGGTCAAGTATGGCCTTGAAAATGGTTACTGTCCGGTGTGCGAGAAGATGATGTAACATGCAGTGAAAATGGGAGTAGAGATAATAGAAACAGCTTGAAAAGGGATGTGTTTGATGTATAACGGATCGAATGAAAGTCTGTCACAGGAAGCTTTCGGAGGTGGCGAAAAAAGAACTTCCACTATCCCAAGTAAACACTACCTGCGTGTTACTCGAAAACTCAACGACCTGTCAGATTATTTTCAAATGACGAGGAATGATGGGGCGTGCCAACGTGGTAGTCTAACGACAGTATTACACACTTAAATTTGACAGGCCATTCCAGTGTAACACCCAAAAAACCTCAAAATACAATTTTCCACCTACAGTACTCCTTTACGTGTGGGTGCCTCGACGCATGCGCGGAGAATACGTATGGCCTGCGAGAAAAAGAACTCTAAGAAAGTTGCAACTGCCTGAGGGGTGTCAGTAGTTGGCGGGCAGACACAACATACATACATGCAGTTATCATTTGAACTGCATGTGTTGCCGTATTGGGGGAGTCCTCACACAGACACACAAACTAATGAACCATTGTTGCACATGCACACCGGGCACATATTACATGCAGTAAGTGTTACTGACCATGGTCTGCCAGGAACAGCCCATATTGCAGGTACTACAGTGCCGAGAATGTTTCCAACTGATGTATGGGAATTCCAGACTCCCAGTAGTAGTCCTCTCCTCTTTTTACCAAACCAGTTTCCCATCACTGCAACCACTCCTGGCCATCCTGTGGACTGAACAGTACAAGCATGTACATACGTACATATTGATTCCCCTCATGCCTGCATGCACAGTGAAATAGCAAAATTATCCTTGATTGTGTCAACTATGTGAAGTGATATATTTTGCTTGTCGATTGTACATGATGCAAACCCAATCAGGAGATTGCTGTTGAAGGGCATTGTGCGAGGGCCAGGGAGTGGATCCTGTGTCACAAAACTCCACTACAGTTAAAGATCAACCCAGGGCACATGAAAGTCGGCTAAATGCCCATCACTCACAAATAAAGTGATGTGCTGCTCTGTATTGGTGTGCAGCAACAACAACACATGACACCCCAGTCAAAATTGGTAGGTACCCACACTCACCTCAAAAACACCAACCCCTATCTGCACCAAAATGAAATAGGTGATGTTGTGAATTTTGCCATAGTATGCCACACCAAGTAGTCCAACAAAAACACCACTCCCTACAAGCAAAGTATGTATGTACATCCAAATGCATATGTGCATAAAAAAAATGTAAAATCTATTGTCAGTGCCATGGTGACAATTTTCAATCCCAGCTCGCAATACAGCGAATCTTACATACATTTTTCCTTGCATGGGCTAAAATTATGTGCGACTATGGCTCGTAAAAACCTGGTTAGATGTTTGATTGGGGCCATGTAGTATAGTTGTGCAAGTATAAGCTATAGCTGCTGAAGGGTGCTTAATGTTTACGCTTCGGTGCTTACTCACAGAAAGCTGTAGTGGGTTACTCTGGTGCCTATAATAATGGGATGCTTTTATATTATATTATCCCTAGTATACAGAATATCTTTACTTAATTCTGCTGTAATTACATACTGTACTAAAAAAACAAAAAGAAATCACCAATCATTCCGGCAGTTAAAAAGTATCTCACGTTGACTCTGTCAGCAATAAGGCCACTGAATGGGAAAATGTCGATAAACAATGCAGAAAGCTACATATCACTCTACTGGGAATGAACTGTACCAATAGTGCCCATTGTTGGGACGTGTGCTTTCAAGTCAGTAATGGCATGCACAAAGAGTTTACCAGTTTTGCCAAAACAGTTCACACACCTGATAAAGAGGAAAACTGCATAAGTGAAGAGCCATGAATAGTCCACAGCTCCAATCAGGGTCTTGCAGTGAGGACCATCTGGATAAAAAACAAACTATACTACTCTGCCATGCCCACAGCTGTACATACCGTTAAACACAGCAGAGTTACCCACACGCATTGATATTACTTCTTTTTATGTGAAAGTCTCTCAACCCTGCTTTTCTTGCCCTTCCTGGTAACTGAATTTAGTGACACTCAGGTTTAGATTAGTGCTCAATCCTTCACCATATTAGTACATAGAGAGTAGCTGGCTCCGATGATTTCAATGTTAGCCAGGCTAATGCACTCCTTTATGTGAAGGGTGCACGCAGGGTGACTCTGTCTCTGGAAATCACAGCCCTTGTTTCAGGTTTGCATGAATGTTTCCCCAATAACCTCTGTGTTTGTGTAGCAATACACACACTCAGAACAAAGTACTGTAACCCTGGGCTATGCATGCAAGTACTGTAACCTTTGCTGTGCATGTTGCTTGCCTTCGCCTTGCTACCTCACTTCATTTGTTGACACATGCATACACTTAGCTCGGAGTTGGGTGTCTTTGGTGGTTTAATTACCCCTGTTTGCTCCTAAATTATACTGTGCTATAGAAGAGTGGTTTGAGGTTTGAATTTGTGTTGAAGATTTGAACCTCTACCAGCTGATTTGCCCTGGTAGTGCAGTTGGTAGAGTACTGGTGGGTTCGAATCGCACCTAGGGAGCTCTTCTTTTTTTCTTGGAAAGAAAGAGATGCCCTGAGTGTAGTTGATTTTTTTTGCCTTTGCCTTGCTACCTCACTTCGTTTGTTGACACATGCACACTGAGGGTTAACGAAATGAAAACGGGCTAAAAATATGTATGCAGGAAAATGTTCATGATGTTTCCGGCCATAGAAAACGATTGAACTTTGAATCAAAACCACAACTTCTGTTACAATCAACGGGTCCGCAACTTCCAGAAATCTCCACAAAATACTTGAGAAAAACCGAAATCTTTGCAAAATCTTCAATCGTGGCATAATAAGGGAATCTATGAAATACTTGGAATGTGTTTGGAAATCTCGTACGTTTTACCAGGTTGGCACTGAAGGTTACAAGGGCCAGGTCTATAACATCTGCATGCGTGGGGACATGTCTAAATTTGTGCGTGCGTCACCCACATCTGCATCACCCGGTCTGTGCGCAGGAGCAACTTGGACTGAAGTGTTTTATTTTGCCCTCTCCTACTCCCCTTCATCAGCTGCATCCAATTCCAGAAATTACGAGGACATGACGAGTATGACGTCACGTAAATTGAATAATCATACGTGCGTGAGCCAACAAACTAATTTCAAACAGAGACCCTTATTTCCTGCAGGTTTTCTCCAGACAGAGTGGTCCTGGAAGAGATGCTAATTTCGACAGGTAATCTATAGTCTCTACTCTCCAGAATGAGTTACATTTCCACCCATCTCGGCCGGCTAACAACCGGACATGCCTACTTTTAATTAACCCTCGGCGCACATGCGCAGCGACGGTTACTGTAGTTGGGTTTGTCTGTCTGTCCGTGTGTCTGTCTGTTACTCTCAATCTCACTTCTCGAGTGTTTGTTCGTCTCACAAAGGATACGATCTACTTAACGGGAAATGAAGGTCAGAAAATTTGTGGGGTTTTCTCTGAAAATGCTCCGTTGCAAAGCTAGAGCGCTTCCAGCATTGTATGGCTAATGCCGGTAGTCGCCATTTTATCGCTGGCGGATAATGCGCATGCGCTTATATTTAGCACAGGCTTACATCGACCTGGTCCGCTTGCTCTGAAGGCACAACGAATGGCGTGTATCGACTCTCGCGTGCTATCTACTACTGTAGCTAGCCCGTGTCAGACTCTCTGCGAGCTACTTCGCCGAGGGTTTGCACTTTAGTGCTTTTCATTCATACATTATTTGTCCCTATGCATTATTGTTTTTGAAACCTTGCTTCATAAAGCGCTTTTTCTTGGGTTGTGCTTCAAAATTTCATCAGCGCTAAATCGGATAATTGTAGAGGAGGCCTCAAAGATTTTTTAAGGGAGGGAATATTATTCTATTTTCTATCAGAGCTACTGAGGAAGGAGGTATATACACACAAAAAGATGCATAAAATTTAGCAGAAAATACAGGAGGAGGAACTGAGGAGAGTGGAGGACCAGGAGAGAGACCAGGCAGCAGCTGGAGTAGCAGAAGAGGGAGACAGAGCAGAAGAGAAGAGAGAGAGTCTGTGACCAAGGCACTTGATGCTGCACAAAACAAAGGAAGGAACTGGAGGATGTTTCCAGAGAAACAGAGGGCTATTGCGGAGAACAAGCAAGGTACAAGCTAGCGAACACGCAAGGTACAAGCTATGTAGCAAACAAGCTCGTCTCAACATCTCTAGGTGGGATGTCCGGCACCTACGTAAAATTGTGGGTATTGCTCCCTTCGCGTCAGTCCAACTGAAATCATGCACAAGACTGGTGGAGCAGTTGCTGACGGGTTAACTGAAACATGTAGCTTCTGTAATGTAACTGAGCCGCATACTTCTCAGAAGGCTGGCTACACCTTGCTAAAGGAGCTCAACATCACCACCAAGGTGTGATTGAGTGGACATCTGGATTAATGAAGGGGTGAAACGAGGAAGAGGTCAGGTAAGAGATCCCAGGAGTAAGAGGGTGACATCGGTGACAGTGGGTGGATTCACATACAAATGTGGGGGAATTTGCCAATTACAGATGGCGGGTTAAGAGGAAGAAACGAGCTGGTCATTTACACCCCTCATATTAAGGTTTACCGTCAAGGGACATTCAATTGGTGGCAGCAGGGAGAAGATAAATTCATCTGCAGAAGGGGTATCAGTGGGTCAAGACCAAACATATAGTGCTGATGAAACTGTGAAGTGGGTAGTGTAGACGTTTCATCACCTCCTCTAGGCTACATGTGTATGTCGTGTTTGCAGAGAGTGATGGACATAGGCAAGGCATGTAAATCACAACTCATTTACATTAACTATGTAAGCAAGTGATATCTACCTGGGCTTTTTCTCACGTAAGGAATTGTTGGGCCAGAGAACTAGAGTTTTGCATAAAGGAGAGGCTGTTTTATTAGCGGAAGGAAGTGAGAAACAAGCTTTTTTTGTCCAAGAAATACTGAATGATTGTGCAAACCCTTTGTCCACTAGTAACATCTGTGCGTGAACTGCAACACGCTCAAAATAGCACTGCAAATCGATGGGCTTGTCCTCACTAAGAGCCTAACACACTAAACCACAGTTGATAGCACTGGGGGATTTGATACTTGTCTTCTGTTGTAACACCCAACATCTCCGCAGTGCAAAACGCAGGCCAAATCCATCTAGCAGGTAGCCAGCGCTTATTAGCATAATATTATTAAATGTATAGTTGACATGCCATATCTAAGTACCACCATCATCATTAGATCTTTACACACTGAGCTCTCATCCACACAATCGCAGTCCTTCCTGCATCTATCCCTCCCTCTCTCCCTTTCTTTCTCCCTCCCCTCCCTCCCTCCCTCCCTCCCTCCTCCCTCCCTGGTCAATGTATAATATTGGCTTCTTGCTTATATTTTCCAGATCCCTTGAACACAGTCTGTTCAGGAAAGGTCTTTTATTAGTTATAAACCTGTTGGTATCACTTATAGGCTGTGTAGTAGCTTCTAGTGTCAGAATAGCTACAGAGAAACAGACAGACACACACAGACCAAGTACTGTAACCCTTGCTGCGCATGCACGCACGCTGAGGGTTGAATATTTGCCCCACTCCTATGAAGGTTGCCATACAACAATACTTACTGAACGGGGGCCAGCCACCAGAGGCCGAAGAGAGATCGGAGAGGTTGGAAACATTGGTAGCGTAGGAGCTATTATCATCAGTACCTCCTCCATGACAATCTGGTGCAAGGACATTCTGAATAGTGTGTATACAGTGGAACCTAATGGACACTCCAAAAAGAGGAAAACCTCCCTATGGACCGGACCCCCTGCTGATTACCATATAAACCCCATACATTTCTACCTCCGACTTATGGACAAAAACCTCCGAATAATGGACAAATCTGACCCTGACGTGTACAACATTAATTACTTCCAATAATGCACGGGCAGAAGAAGCCTTGTCCTCTATTAGCTATTCCATTCAGTCACACCAGCCAGTTACAGGCAGTTCTAACAAGTTTTGGTTAGCTCCTGGGAGGCTACATGTGTCCTCTAGCAGCCAGTGGGCAGAAGCTAGTTAGTGTAGTTTGCAGTTAGCATGACTAGAGCTCAAATATTGTGAAATCTAAAGACAGTCCACCCTTGATCAGTACTTATTTTACGGCTTATATGGTTCACATTGATAATCATGGTACTTTAGGGTAGAACCTCCGAGGAAGGGACAACCTCCGAACAACAGACTAAACGTTCACCCCCACTATGTCCATTATTCTGAGGCTCCACTGTAGTTTGTTACAGTGTGAAGACTATGAATAGTATTGAAGTAGAGTTGAGTAGTAAATACAGTGTCAGGCTCATTCATGCAGACAACGTGATTACGATTGTCATTCTGTTCATTTATGTCTGGCCTTTGTAATAGCACCGGCATGGACAGGTAGGGCTCGTCGTAAGTGTTCTATACTCTGTAGATCTTGGAACTTACTGCAACGACGCTGAACGGTTTTCGGGACATATGATACGCAGCATATACCACGAAAGTGAGCACCAGAATGTAAGCTCGGTAGCTAAAATGCAGAGAAGGCAGCATAACAACACAACACCCAGTCTAAAACACGTATATACTAGCAACACGCACCTGAATCGCGGATATCGGAAGAGCCCAGCATAACTCAGTGCCAACGCTCCAAACCCGAGTTTCTTCGGCTTTAGCTCGTTCAACAGCTCCCCACTAGCACTACCCGCACATGGCTCCATCACCGGTTTGCTGTTGCCAGTGGACAAGTAGTAGTGGTGCGTCGCCTTCTGCAGACGTCGTCGTCTGAGACCCCGCCCTCTTCAGCGTGTCTCTGATCTCGATGACGAGCAGTGTAGGCGTGGCTTCGTGCTGCACGCTGAACCTTGTGCCCCTTTCTCCACTCAGCATCATGTGTGGCGATAGTTCTCTGAGAATGAACGTGCAGACGTGGAGTAGGCTGGTGAGTGGGGCTCTGAAAAACCTTGCGGTCGCTGGAAGAGATCTTTACTTTTAGCAGCTGGAACACTAGCGCGCTCATATGCACATACGTGTACGTACGTACGTATATACGGACGGAAGGCCGGATGCCCCGCCCGTCAGATGTGCGTATGCGTACTAAACACCGACGTAACGTAATGAGCATGCGCAGCAAAGGCCTAGATATATATAGCAGTGCATCGAGTGCAGTTACTAGTTGGCGGCGATGTCGTTCAGTTACCAGTATGAAAAACCTTGTTACTCCGTTGGCCATGTCGGTTCTTGTGATGGGAATCGCAGCAGCAGATGAACTCTGCGATGACGGTAACGTCACTTAGTCTACACTTGTGGCATTATGCTGGTGGGGTCTGCAGGCTTGTAGCTAGCTAAAGGACCGTTCGTTTAAATATTACGTTTTAGGCCGTGTGTTAGTTACAGTTTAGTTGGCATTCTTTTTTTACAGATCTCTATATGCAAATCAACGGGCCTGTGACCGTAAATCTGAGTTTGGAATGTAACACTACTCATTTTCGGAGAACTGGGCTTGTTGATACCGAAGGACAATTGTCGCAGTCATTCAGATACTACTTTGGGGTTAGATGTTTTGATGCCAATAACTCAGAGGTCAGCAGGCTATGATACATGATCATGGTTGTTCAGTACATTGATACTGATTGTATTTCAGACTGAGATGTTTGCTCTTGAGGATGGAGTTAATTTCCCCGAAGAACATGACTTAACTACAATAGGAACATTAATACTTCAATATGGATGGAAATGTGTTCTCTTTGGATGTTATGACTTTTTTGGATCACCACCCAATCGCTACACAGTGAAGCCGGCTTTTTGTACTGTTGGTATGTCATTTTCAGGTTGCTGTATTGTGGTATAACAGGTGTTTTACATAATGAATGCGCTTTGCAGATGAAGATGAGTGCTCTACTGGTTCTCACTATTGCAGTGAAGGAGCTGTCTGTATAAACACCATTGGTAGCTATCGCTGCACTTGTCCTGTTGGCTATGAGGATGATGGATTCAATTGCACTGGTTTGTGTACATGTACTGTAGTATAAGTATACCCCTTACTCAGCGTGGAAATGGCAGTACCTACTTTCTTGGTTTCCCATAACAGGAGAGGCATATCTTCTGTAAGTATGTGATAGTAAATCCTCCTTCCCTGTCCTCTAGGAGGAGTAATGTAGGAGTAAAATTGTGTAGAATGCTTCATTGACTTTGGAATAGTGAGGTATTTAGAATATGGATGTCATGGTCTGATGATGAATTGATCACTTTCGTTGTCTGTCTTAGATGTAAATGAGTGTCAGCAAGGCGACAATAATTGCAGTGAGTATGCAAGGTGTGAGAACATTCCTGGAGGCTACAAATGCCAGTGTAGAGATGCCTATGAAGGTGATGGATACAACTGCAGTGGTGAGTTTTTGGAGTGTATTAGGTTATCATGGGAATTCTAATTGGATTCTGGAACCCTAGTGTGCAGGGATGTAAAAACAGTAGTGTGCACCGAAGCCATAAAGGTGTCTGGCTCGTGTGCTCTAGAAAGACACAAAACTGATCTCAGGAATGGTTCCAAAATTTGTCTTTGATTTTAGCCAAATTGTATGGTGGTCCCTGGTTCAGCCCTGCAAACTGCACCTTTTAGTACTGCTTTTATCTCATGTGCATATTCGTTGCATATTTGTTGGGTAGTAGTGAAATAATATTATACACAGTCCTTCAGCCACCATGGGTTATAAGTGATACTACATAATTTCACAGATGTGGATGAGTGTTCTAGGAGCCCTGATATTTGCGGACCAAACTCCACATGCTATAATATGGCGGGAGGCTATGTTTGTTCATGTGGTGAAGGATACTCTTATTTGCACAATCAGTGCATAGGTTTGTGAATGTTATAATGATTGAATTATAACTCCACTACTGTATACCTGTAGATATCGATGAGTGTGAAGGTGATAGCCATGAATGCAGTGAGAATGGTGTGTGTATGAATGTTCTTGGAGGATACACTTGTTCCTGTGCAGCAGGGTACATAGGAGATGGATTCAACTGCACGAGTATGTTAGTACGTATGTTATCAATGTTTCTTTGATCGGTGCTTATGGGCATTTGACAAAGTAGTTTAGTTACACTAGAGTATATAGCCTCTTAGGGTATGCATACTCTGCACCTGTGTTATCTTTGTACCTCATGGCATGCAATATTTCTTCATGTGGTCACATTGAGAGGGATAGTGATAAGGAAATAGTAAGTATAACTTTCCCAGAATATTTCCAAGAAATGTATAGCTTTTGCAACACTTTCTCTCTCCCTGCTTTCTATTTGCCTTAATGCTAGAAGCTTGTCGGTACACCTGTAAACTTTATTCCGGAACTGACTTCTACCACGACTGCGTCCGAGGCTCTGCTAGAATTCTTAAGTCCAGCACAACTTCAGTAATATTCCTTATGAAAACCACTGAAGTGCAAACCCACAGTGAGCGCTAGTGCTGTAAGAATGTATTACACATGTGCATAGAGTACTGGTAATTGATGGGCGACGCCATACAGTCGATGGTGATGTCCTCAAAGTCACCGGGTACTATTTAGCATATTGCCTCTTTATCTGGTTATCACGCCATACCTCTTGTTTCGGAAAAATCTTAGTTTTTCCGCTCTTGTTGTTCTGAGGCCGCCTCGTAGCCTGTAGTGCCAGAAAGGCCTAAGAAAGCAGACACACACCAAGTACTGTACCCATCTCTGCACTTACGCACCAAGGGCTAATAACAAAGATGCTTTGTGTGAGTTTACCTTGTGGTAGCACCATTCAATCTATTTTGATAGGAAGTTTGTAAGGGATCTGATGAATTGTAGTTGTAATTGCCGAGCGCGTTAGCGTGAGGCAACTACTTCGGGTTGTATTCTCGCGATATGCGTACGTACGTGTCCTCACGCTTATTAGTCACGCTTAGGAAGTATAACTTCCGTCATTCGTAGGAAGTCTAGCTTCCGCCGTGCGCGCAGATTCGTAGGAAGTCTGGCTTCGCGCGCAGTTAGTAGAGCGAGCGCACGAGCGGCCTCAGTTGGACTGTTTACGCATTGGCTGGCACGGCGCGAGGCAAAATAATTATGCGCGTGCACATTCCTAGTTACCCTGTGTGTGTGTTTGCTGCAGTGGTAGATGTGATCGGTAGTGGTTTCCATATATATGAATGTATGTAGCTATGATATTTAGAATTGCATCTTAGAGGCTGACGTACATTTTAAACATTGATAGCAGAACTCTCCTTCGAATGTTTATAACCAATGATTACTTCAAAACCTGTCGCGATGACCAGCAATCCATGTTACTTCTATCTTATGGCACACTACTCGAACCTAAATTACGGTCAGACAGGATCCCTAGTTGTACACCTTGGTATGTGCAACTTAATCCTTAAATTGAGCTCCTTCATGTAGGCAACCTGCTAGTGTGATTGTGTTCAAGATACGCTATGTGCCCAAAAGATTTTTTGTATAGAGATCGTTGAAAGAGTGCTTCTGAGAGGATTATTGTTTAGCGAACTCTATCTAAGTGCGGTGCATATAGGGAACTGGGCCCTAAGATATTACATTTGAATATTAATCAGTGTTGTATAATACATGATGATTTATATACTTTGGTATATGTTACCCTTGCAAAGGCACATTATAGGTTATTGGCAAGTAGTAGCACCCACTTACATAGCTGTACTAACACCAACAGCAGAGGGCTGAGTCACTCCCTAATCAATATATACCCACTTTGCTTTCCTTATAGGGAATTCCGGGCATTGTGCTGGGGAAACATATACCACGTTGGTTTGATGATGGCAAGTATGCTCTATTCGTGCTGCCGCTCATAGAGCATACTTGCCATCATCTGCCAAAAGTGACAGTTATGAATTGGATTACCTCACAAAGTACTAAGACAAGCAGCATAAATTCTAACTGAGGCCCTGGAAATTTTCATGGTGGTGGGTGTAGATTTCAGGTGATGACATCCCCTTCTGCTTTTTGGTATCAATGTACTATGCTTGCATGAGGTTTAGGCACACACTTGTCGTACAAAAATAGTTTGGTAAGTCGAAACAGGTGATTCTGATTAATAATGCGTGTGGTGTAGACATTCTTGATGGCAGACAGCTACACGTCATTGCCTTCAAGGACTGTAATGTGATTAATGTACTGTGTATGATGACATACAAGGTATATATCTCCGTGGAATGTTTAATGTTTAATTAACTGTAGCGGTCAACTAAGTTTTTTTCCCCTCAAGGATCAGTGTATTTCTCTACAGTAAATCTGGTGGTAGTACTAATATTCTCTGTGGGATTTGTGGGTCTGGCTGTACTGCTAATTACTGCTCTCATCTATCGTATCTGTGGCTCAAGGGGAATGCAGTGGTGGCAGTAAGTCAAGTGTTTTCTGATTCCACTCACTGTTTATTCCTATCGATATCCAGGTATGCTTACAAGTGGAATGGGAGACAGAGGTATAATTCATGAGTTTACGGATAAATATTAGACACTCCAACTGTTATTTTCTATTTGCATGTTCATATGTAGGACGTAAATGAAGACTTTCAGCCAGTTGATCCAGAACCGTCAATATTCTTGGGCTCACTCAGCAGCATCATTGAGCCACTACAGAAGCAATATGATCTTGCTACGGAAAATGGAAGGATAATTTCAGACAAAGAACTGGATAGTGATACCAGGAGTTGTAGCTCAGTTGAGAGAGAAATGAGACTGGTTGTGTTTCTGGCCTAGCACAAAGTTCAGTTTCTGTTCCAGATTTTCAGTTCGAAGACCCTCAGAAAATTGAAACTACTACTGGTGATGGTGGTTTTGATATACTCTTCCCTAAAGGTATAATGCTGACTATGTATGAGTCCAGTTTAATGACTCACATCAAGTAAAAGTGACCTATCCAGAGTTGCTCCATTGCAAATCCCTCAGTGTCAAATCGTAACTGTGGTTTTTCAATTTCCTCTTCTGCAGATGAGTCTGGCTTTGCATCTGATACATCAAGCTTTCAATACCTCTCTTTTTACAAACTTCGTCATCAAAACTAGCATACGTTCCTTCTGTATTTATCATTCCGTGTGGCACCTTAGCGTTATTTTTATACGCATGCGCACCATTCGTTCGATCGCCGCTCTAGCTCTCGGTCGTGGTGCGCCGCGCATGTTGAATGGAAGTGTCTGTCTGTCAGTCGTGGGGTGTTGCTTCAGCGCGTCACACGTCGGGCTGTATCGTGTGTCCCTTGCAACAACATGTGTCGTCTGTGGAACAAGAATTCGACGTCCCTCTTGGACCGAGTGTGGTGCGATGGTGTGCGCGCACAAAGAGGCGTGTGCTGCAGTTCCAGGCTCATTCCGACCTTATTACTTGCATGAAAATGAGTCCCGACAGACAGTAAGTGTTATCCGGTAAAAGTTCAGCTTGTCAAAGTTCAAGGTTCATGAAATGTCACTTTGCGCTTGCGCATGACGGTACAACACCACTAATGAAAGCCTGAAATTATCATGTCATAATAAATCAGGATTTACTAAACAAAAAGGTCACGAAAGAACAGAAGGAACAAGGCAGTTCAATACACAGTACTTCATAAGCTAGAGGTTAGTCGCAAATACCGAAATGCCTGTGTGGAACGAAATTGCGTAGACAAGTTTGTGTCTTAGTTGTCCGGTACTAGTTTTACTTCTATAGCAGGAAATACTGTATATCGATCCAAGGTGGAAAATGAGTGTTTCCACAGCTGTAGGACAGAGCCCAGGGACAAGATTTTGGGACAAGTACCCCCTCCTAATTCAACACGTGGTTGTTGTATTGCCACATTCTGTCGACCTTTCTATTACTCACAGATACATAGTGACAACATCCTACAGTGGTGAGCTGAAGTTGTGGAGTGGTGAGGGTTGGAGGTGTGAGTGTGATACGCAGGCACCAATGCCCCAACAACACCATGTGAGAATTTATATGAGTGTGTAACATTAGGTTATCATTTACCTTGCTTGGTGAACTGGGTGGAAATCCATCTCTGATATGCTATAGCCACTTCCTTCACCTACTTCGTTTTCTCACCTTATAGTTGGCGTGGAGACTAGACAGCAATGGGTTTGTGATAGTTGGAAATGGGTTTCGATCATCGATTGCAATGTACTCACTACTAACGAAACATACAACTGTTAAGTTGCAGCTACTGTGGCAGATAATGGCTAAGAACGTTAATACAAAGGGAAATGCAAGTGAATTTGATTCAGCGAAAGTCACTAATACAGGAAGAGATTATCTTTACTCAGATGCTTTCACCATGGCTGAAATTAACCCTAGTTCTAATGTATTTGCTGTTAAGGAGAAAGAAAACGGATCGTTTTCCATTCACTTGTTTTCTAATGAAGGTGAAAGTTTAAAAGAAGTGGACATAAATGAAAAGTCGGTATCTTTGCTTTCTACATTCAACACCAAGGTGGATGCATATGGCATGGTTGTACAGGGAGGAATTGTTCTGATTATTAGCGGGGAGGACCTCAAAATAAGGACAAGGTTTCGTGCGGTAAGACTGTGCCTTTGTGTGTTGATATAGATGTCTGGACATTGTTCCAATTATTGTTCCACCATCATCTCCCAACTGCAAAAGAAAAGTACATGAATGCTTAACCAGCAAATAATACGAACACTGTTAAAGCGAAATACCTGCTTAATACGAACCCCAGGCATTATAACACTATTACAACTAGCTACTGTTATAGTGAAATTCCTTTCAATATGAACATTTTTGATGGCCCCCTGGAGTTCATATTAACGAAGTTCGACTGTATTGCTTCTGCAAAACGTTTGAAGTGTGCACAAGGATTTGTGTGGTGCTCCGTGAGAGGTTCCATTCTAGTCCAATGTTGATGTAACTGTCATTTTCTAATGTGTGTGCCCTCTAAATTACACAGATAGTTAGTCTGAACTATTCTGTGATCTTGAAGTCAAGTCATAATTATTGGCGAGTGAAGCGAGCCCACCTAGTCCTCTGAATGTGGGATTTTCCATTCATAATAATTATACATCCCTCTGTAGTGGTGAACCGGTACATACCGTTTACATGATTCTAACTACGCTCAGAAACATATGTGAAATATTGAACTGGGCATTCCTCTAGTAGTATTTCATGGTGATGACAGTGGATTTTCTCTCCTCCAGGGATACACCTCAAGGTCCTGTGTATGGGATGGAGAGCACCTGGTATTGCCTTCTGACTCAGGGAAGCTTGTTTGGTGGAGCATGTTTGGGGAAAGATTGTTTGAAGCAGCCGTGGATGTCACTGGCTATGTGGTTCACCTCCAGTTATCACTGAATGGCAGGGCTCTCTGGGTGTGTGGGTTCAGCAGACTAAGCTATGTAGAGATCGACAAGAATTCTGATGGTAATTAAGACATTTGTGTTTCTTTTAAAGCGTGAAATAGTGTGGTGGGCCGCCACGCTTCAGTTAAGACATAATTAATGAGTGGAATGTAGAGACTATGTGGTCCAGGATGTGGCCCTCCTCTACAAGACCTGTGTGTACACGCGAGTGACTACCACATGTATGTGTACTCAATGGACCATAGCAAGATATGTTACAGTAGTACGTTGTGCCGCTTAAAAGGAATGTAGCAGTATACGAAGGGCTAAATTTAATAAATTACAGAACTCAATTGCATTCTTCCTATTGTTAGGTGCTATCTTTAGGCAATTTAGCCCTAATATCTCAACATTCCCTTTTAAAAAACAGATTGGGTAACTTTTCCTGCTGTATGAAATCTGTGTATTGGCGAAATGTATGCAGGGTTTAATTATTGTTTATTGTTTAATTTATGAGTTGGAGTTACTGCCGTTTAAAAAAATTGTGGTTGCCATGAAGCTCTTGAAGCACAAAAACTATAGCTATAGCTACAGAGCCAAGTAATTTTTTAAGTTCAGTCAGCCAAGCAATCAGTAGTTATGGCGCTTGCGTCTTCATCACTTCTGCATAGAACAGTTACATCGAGTTACCTTATTATAGTAGTATAATTTTGCTCACAATAATGTGGGACTTGCACACAAACTTTTACCATAGGGACCGTTAGGAAGTTGAATATTTCCTCGTGTGTTCACTGTCACGACATTGCGTGTTGTGGAGTGGCATTCAGTGACAGAGGTGGATGGCTGTGTGCAGGAGATCTTGCTGGTGGTGTGTGGGCAATCCAAGGGACTAGCACAGATGTAACCCACAAGATATCGGTAAGAGTGCTATTAGTACAAGGATCACTTTTTTGAGGGAGTGTACTTAGAAGGGATACAGAGCAAAGCACAGATTTGGGCGCGCTGACACCATAATTCAATCCCTTATTGTTGCCTAGGTGAAGTATGAAACATTCACCATTACAATGAAAAGCACTAAAGTGCAAACCCTCGGCGCAAAACGCGCGCGTTGTAGCGTTGCTGACGGAGCCAGTAATATGAGTCTCACCATAACACAGGCAAGTTGCATCAGAGGGCTTAGCGGTTATAGCAATTGCTCAGGTGTTACAGAGGCTCTCACGTTTGCTTTATCTGCTCCTCTGTGTTTCAATGCTTGCGACATACTGCCAGACTGTGCTTTTAGGATGGAAGCAGATGGCCGCATCCACAAACTGCTCGTCTCACGTGAACTGTTATGCTACATTGCGGACGTACCTTTCTCAGCTTCTTATCCATTGGGAACAAAGAGAACAGAGATCAAAAGTGACAGAGGAGAGACACTCAAGAAAAAAAGCCGTCGAACAACGTGGCGTATGCGCATGCTCCTGACATGACGCGTGCGCGCCAGGGTAGCCTGCCGGCGATGGCGCGTGCGCGATCGACTGCACGTTGGCTTTTTCGCTTGTTTTCACGCCATATCTCTGGAACGCAGTCGTTTCAGGAAAATCACCACGTTAATATCCATCTTCTCGTTCACAACCCGTTGGTGCCACTCATTGGCTGTCTCGTAGCCCGTAGTGGGAGAACTCGCGCGGACAGACAGACCGACAGAACGACTACCGTAACCCTCGCTGCGCATGCGCGCCGAGGGTTAATAATTATAATTATTATGACCTATAGATTTACGTGTCATGTAACTGGGTAACCAGCAGTCCAAATTGAGTTTGAGAGTAGCACACCAGGAAACAATGTTTATAACATAGGGGGCCGGGAGTGTCACCATGCTCAAATCTGTTTGTTAACCATACTTCATATCTTGTCTCCATTCCTTTGGGTCTCTTATTTGCAAGATATTTGTCCTTACTGCACTGCATTTGAAGGGCTTAGTTCAGGTATGCCATAGCTAAAGTTAATTGTTTTTCCCTACGCATCATATTTATGTAATTGTGACACATCACTGCATAGTTGTTAGTATTAAGCCTAATCAGGTGTGTAAACAAAGGCAAGTGCAACAACATATAAACTACACTTAGGACAACCGTTTCAAAATAAGCTTCACACGTTTTGACTAGATGTTTGTATTCAACTTTACCTTCGGCACTTTTTGAAAGTAGTCAAACACTATAAGATCATTAAATGAGTGTATGTATATTATGGCAGGTTGAGGCATCAGTGCGTTGTTTGGTGTGGTTTGGAGTGACACATGTTCTAATCGGGTGTCTTGATGGTAGAGTGGTTAGGTGGAGAGTTGGGGAGGAGGAGGCGGTGGATGAGGTCTGTCGTCTGGAGGGAAGTGTCATCATAATGAGATGGAACCAAGACAAAACAGTGAGTTCAGTGGTACTGATGTCATCCTACATTGGTGCATCAATAGTTCTCACACACTGTAGTTATTGTCCCAGGTGCACATGTGTGCAAGGGGTTATGTGATTGGTCTGTATGTATGTCTGTCATTGTCTGCACTAAGATCGGCAGATCTCAAGATATGTAAAGTGCCTGAGTGAATTTTAAAGCAGCTAAACAATCAGAAACAGCTAAAACTAGCATCACTGTGCAACGACACTGTCCACAACAGCTAATAATCAAGCTACAAATATTGGGTAATTTGGCCAAACATATCAATGAATGTGCAAACTGCCCTTTTAGCACATGATGAAGTTAAATCGAGTTAACGGAAGGAACCAGAAGCCCGCGCCGCGCGAAGCGAGAGGCGCATGCACGGCCGAGAGTAGGTAGGGCGCGCGCGGCGGGGAGAGTATATACAATAGGCGCATGCGTGCGCGCGCCCCAGTTTCGAGCAGGAAATTCGAGCGGCGGAAAATTGTGCAGCAGGCGTGCGTCGGCTATAGCAACCATTTCGGAGAATAAACGCGAACGGTGCAGATGGCAGTTTCACGCTCTCGTCTCAAACCAACCTTCACCTCTTCCTCTGTCTGCAAGTGGCGTCCGTACGTCACTCACCAGTCCCCTTTTCATCAAGTGACTAGTTCGGGCTAATGGCTACTGACGATGTGACGCCTCCGGCGCCCGACTTTACGCCGGTACAACTCGCCTACCTGGCTGGTAGGGGGGTCGACCTTAGTGGGCCGCCCGCCGTGACAACTCCGCCAGCCTCAGCGGCAGCATCCTCGTCAGTCACCGAGGGGTCAGGGCTGGCGGTGGTGCAGTGCCGGGCACTTCGGCCAGTACCGCCACCGGTGAGTTTTCTTAGTGGGACAAGAGGGGGGAGGGGGCTGCCCAAGGATAGTGCATTCGGGCAAGCTGCCCGCCCGGGGCCTGCATGTGTTTCCTTGTTGGGCTGTAAGTAAACGGTATCTATACTCCCACAGGTACCGCTGTACCGCCCGGGCCAGGCACATCGACTCTGCCACCGCTGCCCGCTTTCTCACTGGGGTCACTGCCACGGTCGGCATCCGGGCCTCCTTCGTCAGGGTTAGATATACTGGCTGCAGCGGCGTCGACCACATCTCGGGCGTCCGCCTCATCGATTTCCGCTCCGGGGCCGTACAACCCGGCGGCGTCGTTGCCACCTAAGGTGGTGAAAAGGGTGTTGGAATTGGAGTTCATAGAGATGGCCGAGCTGAAGGCCGATATATGGGTGGACGAGCCCTCGGCGACAGAGCAAAACCCGATTCGTCGGTTAAACGCCTCGAAGCCGCCGGTGACGGACATCAAGATTTGGCTCGAATGCTACGGGAGGATGGCCACCCTCATATAATATACGAGGTTCCCGGACAAAGCCCCAGAGATCTGGGTGTATCAGAGTACGATATTGAGGGTGGCCCACAATTACGATGGGGCAAACTGGGTCGCCTACGACCGTCAATATCGGAGGTACATGCTGGCCCGCAAAGACCTGAACTGGTCCACGCCGAACAGCAGGCTCTACAATGAAGCGTTCACTCGTAGGGCCAAGGTGGTCCCGCGGTGCCCGCACTGCCTGGGCGACGACCATGGTGGGGCGACCTGCCCACACAATCCGGCCCCCCTCGTTTGGAGTTGGCTCCCCGACCTGCGGCAGCTCCACGTCCCTGTCCAACAGCAACTGTTGGGGGGTCACACGCAGCTGGCGGTCTGCCGCAACTACAACGACAATCGGTGTCGCTTCTCAAGATGCCAGTTTATGCACGTATGCCAGGATTGCCTCGGCTCGCATCCGGCCGTGTTCTGCCCACGTCAAGAGTCGGCACCGGCGACAGGCGCGATGGTTAGGAACCGCAACGGAGCTCAGGGCAAAGCGTTTCCCGGCCACCAGCCCTACCCGATGGGTCAGAGACGCTGAGCCAAAGCAGCCACCTGCGTGAATGACGCCCCTGCTCGGGGTTCTCTGCAGAACTGTATAGCAGTTATTATGCATGTATCAGTCTCCAGACCCCATCCCTCCCTCATTGTAATACTATGTGTATTATGCCTGTAACGTGTGACGAATGGAAATGAAAGTATGTTCATCTTCTGTATTTCAAAGGTAGCGCTATAGAGTAGTCTTCTCCACCCACTAGGGGTGTGACGGCCATAGCTGGTCACTTAACAATTGCCTGTATCGTGCTCAACAGATTGGGCGCTGCAGTACCCATACACCGCAGACCTGATGACTCTAGAGCTGACTCTGTTGGGTGTTGGGAGCAGCTATCAGTGGTGAGCACACCTTTGCGGTGGTCGGCGTGGGAGGAATCGTTGTGCTCTCACCCAGATCAGGCGTTAGCACGCTACATTTTGAGAGGTCTCAGGGAGGGCTTTTGTGTTGGTTTCAACCGCTCGTCCCCACTCAAGTCGGCAGCTCGCAATATGCATTCTGCACAGAAGCACCCGGAGGTGATTCAGCAATACCTGGATAAGGAATGCTCTCTGGGCCGCATGCTGGGCCCCTTCAGAGAGGAGGAACTCGCTGGGCTCCCACCCTGCCACTTCAACCGTTTTGGGGTGATCCCAAAAGGGGTGAACACGGGAAAATGGCGCCTCATTACTGATCTCTCTTTCCCCCCTGATGCCAGCGTCAATGACGGGATCGACCCTGCCCTGTGTTCCCTGTCCTACACGTCGGTCGAGCTAGTTGCAGGGGTAGCAGCGGGTCTAGGGAGGGGTGCCCTCCTCGCGATAACCAACATAGAGCCGCCTACAGGATCATTCCTGTTCACCCGCAGGACCGTCCCCTGCAAGCCGTGGGATGGAATGGCAATGTGTATATCGACCCCATGCTGCCCTTTGGGTTGCGGTCTGCCCCAAAGATTTTCACGGCGGTGGCAGATGCCCTCGAATGGCATGTTCGCCAAAAGGGGGCCAGTTACATTTATTACTATCTCGACGATTTCGTCGTGGTAGGGGCCCGGGATATGAGCAATGCGCAGTCGCACTTGATATTCTGCACCAGGAGTGCGAATCACTAGGGGTTCCCATTGCCGAGCACAAGACGGAGGGCCTGACAACATGCCTCGCGTTTTTGGGCATAGAGGTCGACACGCTGGCCTGCAAGTTGAGACTCCCCGGGCAGAATAGGGGAATCGGAAGGCCTACCAACGGAAGGAGTTGGAGTCGTTGGTGGGGCTGCTGAACCAAGCGTGCAAAGTGGTCATGTCGGGCCGATCCTTTTTGCGTAGGATGATCGACCTCCTACATAGCATGCCGGACTCCTTCCGGTCAAACCATCCGATCCGCTTGAATCGGGAGTTTAGGTCTGATTTGGCCTGGTGGAGGTCCTTTTTCAGTGGATGGAGCGGCAAGTCCTTTCTGCCCCAAGCCCAACGGCTCTTGGCAGTGGATATGGCCTCCGATGCATCCGGCTCATGGGGGTGCGGGGCTTGGTATGGCACCCACTGGTTTCAGGTGCAGTGGGACCACAGGCTTGCCAACACTCCCATCATGGTCAAGGAGCTGATTCCGGTGGTCCTGGCAGCGGAGCTGTGGGGTGGGCAGTGGTCCGACTGCCTGGTTCGTGGTTACTGTGACAACCAAGCTGTAGTGGCGTGTCTCTGCTCTCGGACAAGCAAGAATCGTCACGTCATGCATATACTGCGAGTGTTGGCCTTCGTAGAAGCCAGGCACCGGTTCTACCTGTCCCCGCTTTACCTGAGTACGACAGCGAATTTCCTGGCAGACGACTTATCTCGGGATAACCTGGTTTCCTTTCAGTCCAAGGTACCCGATGCCGACAGCTCCCCGGCGGCCACGTCCTCAGCACTTCTCGACCTGCTCCTGACTCTGGAGATCGACTGGGTGTCCCCGGCATGGCAGAGTCTGTTCGCAGATGTTTTCAGGCAGAGATCGCAACATCCACCAGAAGATCATACAACTCGGGAATGAGGCGTTTCTGCTCGTTATGTGAGAGGTTTGGTATATCTACCCCATTTCCAGTAACCGAACACCTACTCTTTAGTTTCGTAGCTTATTTAGCAGATGAAGGGCTCTCACCTCAGACTGTAAAATCGTACGTAGCGGCTGTCCGTAACGCACAGCTATCGTTGGGACTGCCGGACCCCTGCGAGACCTCCACTTTCCCTATTCTCAAGAGAGTGCAGGCGGGTGTTTCTCGTCTCCGCCTACAGCAGGGGGACTCTGCTCGTGTCCGTTTGCCATCACGGCAGAGCTGCTCAGTCGGATAAGGGTGGCGCTGCAGACATCCTCGGATCCGAAGAGACCCCTGTTCTGGCGATCTGCTTCTTCGGCTTCTTCCGCTTGGGGGAGCTTCTACTCTCGTCGGCGTCCGAGTTTAACGACAGTCTCCACCTGGGGTGGGGGGATGTTGTGTTCGACCATCCGTCTCGACCCACCGTGGCGAGGATTCACCTGAAGCGGTCGAAGACTGCTTCAGGTGAGTACGGGCTGCCATATTATAGTGGGCCGCACGGGAACCGAGCTGTGTCCGATCTCAGGGATTGGTGTTTCCCAGGACCGGTATGCTGGACACAGTTTCCGGATTGGGGCGGCTACGGCGGCCGCCTCGGCCGGGGTGGAGGACTCGACAATTCAGACCATGGGCCGCTGGCAGAGTGCAGCGTTCTTGAGGTACATCCGCACCCCACCCGAGGAACTGGCCGCCATCTGCCCATTATTGGCCGGGCATCAAGCCTCCCCACCTCGCACCGAATAACGACTCACCACGGCACGGTCAGGATAGACGGTCACGCAAATTCATATTATCTGTTCACCCAGATCATTTCCATTGTTATTATTATTGGGTTCCGTGGCAATCATAATTAACCCTCGGCGCGCATGCGCAGCGAGGGTTACTGTAGTGGGTCTGTGTGTCTGTGTGTCTGTTTTCTACATCTCACTTCTCGAGTGTTTGTTCGTCTCACAAACGATACGACCTACTCAACAGGCAATGAAGGTCAGAAAGTTTGTGCGGTTTTCTCTAAAAATGCTCCGTTGCAAAGCTACAGCGCTTCAAGCATTGTACGGCTAATGCGTAGTCGGCCATTTTTATCGCTGCGGAAAATGCGCATGCGGTTATTATTCTAATTCGACCGGGCCCGCTATCTTGAAGGCACAAGAATTCACAACGAAGGGTGTGTATCGACTCCCGCATGCTATCTACTACTGTAGCTTGCCCGTGTCAGACTCTCCCCAAGCCATACTAGCGGGAGACCACGACGAAATAGCCCCTGCACTGTAGTGCTTTTCATTTTACAAGAGCTATCTAGTTTTTGGGGAAAGGCGCCCGTCTCCGGCGGTCGCCTACCTTGGGGGGAGTCGCCCCATCCAACGTTACGCTCCAGGCCAGTTCGATGGGGCTTGTGCTCACATCCCCCAAAACAAGTTGGCCGGCGGTCGATGGATGCGCCAGCTAAAGCCACGTCGGGGTCACGTGATCAGTGCTCAACTGAGCTCGCGCGAGGGCCAGGGGGATAATCCCGCACGAGAGTTGCCCACGCCCCGGCCTCGCCGTCCTGTGCATGCGTGACGCCGGTGGGCGTGGTGCTGATCACGTGATCTAGCGGGCACGTTGCGGCACAGGGAAAACCTGGTTCCTTTGCCCACAGATAGTGTTAACTAGTCAGGTATAAGTGGCCCGTTGTTGTGGCGCCATGCCTATAACCCGATGAGTGGAGTTAATGCCTAATAACACACAATACCGTTCAGAGTATAATTATACTGCCCAGAGCTCTAGTTGTACGTAGAAGTACCAGTTTGCTAGAACATTTTAATGCTAGGCATTAAACTTATAATGACAAAATTTTTTGTGTTTCACACACTAGAAGTTAGATTTCTGAGTAGTTTGTAATAATTATTTTTAGCTAGTTTCATGTTATCTGTTATGTATGTAGCTCCTTGCAGTTGGATCGTCGACTGGAGTTTTGACAATCTTCAGTGCCTTAGAAATCAATTGTGGTCTAGTGCCTGCAACCTCATTTACTGCACATCCTCCTCAGCTGGGCAATAAAGACATGAGATTTGGCCAGCTAAGTAAACAGTGAGCAACACCTGTCATAAGTGACCGTAATACAATAAACATTTTGCCAAAAAATTTTGGCCACCAAGGTTAAAATATTATGTGATTTGGAAGTGCAGTTCATTATGGGAGCATTAATGTTCGAGTAGCTACGGGCCCGCCTATGTCAGTGTATTCATGAATCAACTTTAGAAACACTTGCAAATCCGTATGTGGAAATACCATTACGCTATATGAGAAAGTACACCGTCAATTGACAGGCTTGGCAAAGCTATCGCTAGAGAGTTACGTAGCTGGGTCTTGCTTGGGTTTAAGGAATTGCAGGACTCGATACTTGCTAACTGCTGATGCCTCCACAGTGCATATAACTGGTGGAATTTTGTCGAGGTAAGCCAGTGATTATTACCATATTGGCTTGTTCACTTGCTTTTGACGCCTTTACAATTTTTAGCCCTCGGCGCGCATGCACAGCGAGGGTTATACTACTTGGTCTGTGTGTCTGTCTGTCTCTCTTCTGTCTGTTATCACGTTTTCTGCCACCACACGCAACAAACCTAATCAGTAACGCTGAATGTATTGGTATAGCTATTTTGTTTTTTTTGCACATGGGGTCAGAAAACGCAATAGGTAACAGACTGAATGAGACACACACAAACAATGTACCATAACCTCGCTGCTCGAGGGTTGTTTTCTCCGGTTCTGGCATTCACAAAAGTTAAGTGATAAGGTGCCCTAGGCTATCATGTTTTTGCAGATGCATACGCTTAGTGTATTATGATAGTGCTCGTGGTTCTCACACGTATAAAAATAATAATGTAAAGTTAGTGAACCAATGGCACGAGAAGACACGGCACCTGGTTTCATGTACATAAATCTATTTTAGGGCAGAAATCTGGAGCTTGTGTTGGAGTCCCTCTGCTAACCTGATTGCCACATGTTCAGAAGACCAGACAACAAAGATCTGGAATGTTAGAAATTGGAGTTGGTAAGTCAGCATAATCATAATATTGACCTAACGATGTGGCCGGTGTACTTGATAATAGCCAAGCTACTCTGCGTGGCCATACTATGGCTGTAACTGGTGTCGACTGGAAACAAAGTAACTTTTGTGGATCAATTCTTGCCACTTGTTCTGATGACAGGGTGAGCTACAGTTCTGTTAAGTCTTATTGTGAGTTCGATACTACCGGCCTCCAATGTACACAGAGCGTGCGGATCAGGTCGCGGTAAGGCCAGTGGGATTGTGCATATTGGCTTTTCTGCTTGTTTTCACGGTTTGTGGTTGAGAAAGGGAATGCACTTAGAGAGTCAATGGCTGCCATGTCACCATTCATTTCAATGAGCCTGTGTGGTACAAGCAGTCTCGCCTCCTTTAATGCATGCCCTTGAGTTGCGATGAATCACTGCAAAACTTGGACTTGAAGTAGTCTCGATACCTGGTTGTACGCGTCTGGTGGCATACTGTTTCCATTGCTGAGAAGTGTGTCCTCTAGTAGACAGACACTGAGCTAGAGCTATGACATTAGGATAGTGAGGATTGAATTCCAGTTTTCAGTATTTTTATCTGGTCGTAGCATTTAAAAAGTAATGGACCTACTAAACTACTAAACTAAAGGAGTATAAGTTGATTTCACAAAAGTTTCTCCTGCATCTATATACAACAGAAGCTAACTCCATCTGTAAGAAAGCCTTCTTTCTTGTATCATGCAAAAGCTCAAGCAACTTTGCTTGTGTGGTGGGAGCTATCTCATGTTTCTCCAAGAATGGAGTAACACCACCGAACTGCACAAGGATCTCATGATACACCTCCCACCTACTCCACCATCGCGTCTCACTGTACAAAGCCATGACTTTTCCTGTTTCATTCTTCCACTTAAGCCGTGTCCGCGGACTACGAGAGAACAAACTGATCCATAAACGGGTGATCTCTTCCAGATGGGGAACGTAGAAGTGCTATGCGAGAAGCACCCTACATCCTACATTGAGTACGTTAGGGAAAAGGACCTTGATAGTACGCATGGCTACACCATTCGCTGAAGCCCTATCTCTCATAGTTGCCACAAGACGATCCCCACTTATGTATGCCATACTCTGTGGATACAGTATTCACAATCTCTCTAGCAATTTCTTCTCCCGTCATGGCTTTAGTGAGTAGTTGTAAGCGAATCAACCTTTGCTTAATTTCCCAATCATCTATGCACAGCAATCGCAACTGCTTCTTCGAGACGGGTCGTCCCATCAAAAAATACACAAACATTCTTTTGCATCATTTCGTCAGATCAGATATATCTATCTATGTTGTCACTCATCGTACGCAGACACAATGCCCATTCTCTTCAAATAAATCGATGTTGTTGAGAGGCACTCCTGCTTTGAGAAAATTAATGATGAAAACGATAAATTCTTTGCTCTTCAGGTAAGCACTCCCCACTAGGATGCTTGTCTTCATCATAAAGCTTCAAACACTTTCATTTTTGAAAGTTTTGATAAGCTATAATATTCTCCGCTCAATCTTGTTTTAGCATTGGGTGCGACTGGCCTTGGCTCTATATTATATTGACAACCATGTGCCATGTCTACTTGTAGGCTGTGACCAGCTACCTTGCCGCGGGTGCATGTTGGCCTCTTTCTCAATTGACCTCGTGTGACCTTTGAACCCCCTGAAAAGCAAAGTGAGAGCCTGGTATATCTTCGCACATTAGTGACGTCAGGGTAGACACATTTCGGCACTAGTGTAGACACGTTTTTCCGTTTAAGCTTTCCGGTAGCGTACACAACAAGATGGTGTGCGAGTGCAGCACAGGACACGAGCCAGGCAGCCTCGGTTGTATGTACAGAGGAAGCAACTACAACGAGACAGCTAACTGCGGCACATAGAAGCGCTGTTTGGCTCACCGTACAGAGGAGCAGTCATACCTCTGCTCACTGGTTCTCCACGTAAGTTTGCCCACGGCATCGCCTTGTGTATCCCATCCCTCCCTTTCTTCTATACCAGTCCTATAATTATGCCTCTTTTTTAAATTCACATTTTTAATTTACTTGTATTCTTGTGAAGGACAGCACAGATGTGCTTCTGAATTGTTATATCACAGACAATTAGGGTCGTGGACGGAAACTCTTTCAAGTTAATGCGGACCCTCTCGACAAAAGATCTCTACGGATGGCACACCCTGACCTACATTACCCTGCATCTTGAGTGGGTTCCTCCATCTACTACTCCACCCTCAAAAAGACTGCTTCTGACCTGCACTACTCAGCATGGCTACGTGGTGATCTGGGATGTCGAGTCAGCAGAGAGAACTCTATGCAGACGCATACACTGTGGATCTATTGAGGGGCTGGCAGCCAATGCGGAGAGTGGGACTCTAGCAACTGTTGGTGCTGACTGTGTTGTGCATTTGTTCAGGCTTCAATAATATTGCATATAATAGAGATGTGCATGGTAGCTACCAAGCATCAATGATGTACGGAGGGAGTTTTGTGCATCATATTCATACCCTTAACTAAAGTTTGTAACAATGAAGTATCCTTAATTGGATGACCCTAGCTGTACACATGCTTATTGTAACTTCCTTTAACGACAGCAAAGACTCAGTGATGGTAGTAGAAAAACTTGGTACGCATTACATCTTCCCGATTCATTTGATTACATGTTTGTAAAAAAAACAGGCAATTGTTCTTCTTTCCTCAAATATGCTAATAGTACTACACATCGAGATTAAACTTGGTACACGTGTGTTACATCGTCTGCATGACACTCATTTTGATTAATTACTTCTTCACTCCTCAAAGTTCATGCATGTGGATAAAACTTCGTTTATATGTATGTACACATGTGTATTACAGCATCCCCATTGAACACCAATAATCCATGAAAACATAGTGTGTCTCCGACAAGCCTTTGTCCAGCGAGTGATCTCTATGGTATGATGTGCAGCTATGACTCGTTCCCTATGCACGTAAGACTGGTAGCAAATGCCCTCTCTGACAGGTCCTCAGTTTTGAATCGTGACTGTATTTACTTCAATGTTCGCTCAACTAACCAGTTTTACAATGCTGCTTTCTCTACAGAATTTGTTAGCCAGTCTTCACACTACATTATTCAAAACTCATGTCATGAGTAAGAGTGGCGACAGTATAGGGCTTGTGTGGAGTAAAATTTAAATGAGCAAGAAATGTAAGTTTGAAGATGTAACCATCATCCATTCTACTACTGCATCACATGCACTAGGACATCCCTGTCTTGTCTCCTTGCTTTTTATGGCATCCTTATATTCCACACATTTTTAATTCAAAAAATGTTTTGTTTATTTGCCTCCTTTCCTTTTTTATTGCATTCACATGCATGGTGTGCAATAAAAAGGGGATATTTTTTGGCATAAGCCCGGCCTTAAGCTATCGCCTCAGACGTTTTTGTCGTCATTCACATTACATCAGTGCACCAAGTTTCATTGTGAGAGGACCCATCATAAGCAAGTTATAGGCACTAACACCATTTAAAAGTCTTTTTTGCCTGAGGCGGTTTGTTGTTGTTTACAACCTTGTAATTTCTGTTTCTCTTTATCATGGTAAATCAGTGTACCAAGTTTTCATTGTTAGAGGACCAACCACAAGTAATTTATAGGCACAAACACCATATATAAGTTTTTATTGCCTGAGGCTGCTTGTTGTTGTTGTTTACAAGCTTGTAATTTCTGTTTCGATGAACTTTCATCATGGTACATCAGTGTACCAAGTTTCATAGTTTGAGGACCAACCATAAGCAAGTTAGAGGCACAAACACCGTTTACAAGTTTTTATTCCCTGAGGCTGTTTGTTGTCATTTACAGACTTGTAATCTCTGTGTCGATGAACTCTTGTAATGGTAAATCAGTGTACCAAGTTTCATTGTTAGAGGACCCACCATAAGCAAGTTATAGGCAATAATATAGTTTACAAGTTTTTATTGCCTGAGGCTGTGTGTTGTTGTTTACAAACTTGTAATGTTTTCATTTTCATACTAATGATGGGTTGCATGTGTGTACAAAGTTTTATCACTCTGGGTATATATTAGCTTTACCTAGTTAGAACACTTTTGTGTCTATCATAATGTATTTCCTGGGGCAATTTGTTGTTGTTTACATGTAAACAAAATATTTACGAAGAAATAAAAATGCTCTTGCACGACATGTCATGGATTCCAATATCTGTGCAAAGTTTCATCTCCATATCTTACCCGGTTTTTGAGATACGCTTGTTGAAACTGAACAACAACAACAACAACAAGAATTTAGAAAACTAACTTTCTTGAATAAAGCAAGTACCAATTATGTGATTTAAGCCATTTCTTGGATACGTGCTCTTTGTGACGATATGGATCAGTCTGATGTGTCACAAGTTGGACTGTCATCCCTATATACTAAATGTACTACCATACTTAGTGATACTGCCTGTCTAAGTTGTCTCTCTCCCATTCAACGATCTTTAAAAATACACGTAATCTGCCTTTTTTAAAAAATTCACACGTGGAGTTTGATACATTATGTGCATTTAATGTATGTAAACTAAGGTAACAAATGGATATTATGTGTGGCACCGTGCACCGCACAATACACCCGCACTAAATTCGTTAAAAATAGTCGAAAACATACATTACATAATGATGACATCACAATGTTAAGAGTTGTTCTCAAGGCAGGAGGTAGGTACGTAGGATCTTGGAGCAGTTGATTCCTCGATGAGTGGCTTTCTCTTGACGAACAGTCCGTGAGAAGGCTTGCGGCAAAAGTAGCGATGTCCTTTCACCGACCCATCGTTCTTTCCATCTGCAGAGGAGAGAGAGAGAGTGAAAGAGTTGAAGGGGCTAAAGGGACAGGGGTTAGAACAGTTTTGCAACGGTTGGACGCCATGGGTATCTGCTCAAATAAGCAGAATTTCATGTATAAAGTATTAACGCCTAGTATTACAACCCCCATATAAATTCTTATGGAGGCTCTGGACACATAATATTTAGAATCAGGAGAGAGAGTGAAAAAGTTGAAGGGGTTAATGAGCCAGGGGTTAAAACAGTTTTGCATTGCAGTGTCATCTTTCACAGGTGCAATGGGAAGCTCATTGTCAGTATTCCAAGTCATTGCTTTGTGGAACTTTAGTGCACTTGGGGACTGTAATAATAGCTAGAATGCTACCAATTATTTGGCGAGCAAGTGCGAGCAGTTCAATTTTTCGCATGCAATTGGAATGGCGTTCAATTTTTCATTTAGAATCTCGTCATTACGGTACATGTATTGCCCGTCACATAAATTATATAGAACATCCTCGCATTTAGACAACTAGATAGCCTTGCTTTGCTTGCCAATTATTATGTAAGCGTACTAGGTTTCAGTAGTTCAATCCCTAGCCACACCCCTTTAGCAAACTGGGAGGTTCCGATGAACCACACATCCCCAAAATCAGTGCCAGTCACAAAGATACTCATCCCGGTTTCCATAGTGACGTTTGGGCGAGAGGAGAGGTAGAGGGTGGAGGAGGAGAGAGAGATGGGGGAGGGAGGAAGAAGAGGGAGGGTTGGTGAGAGAGACTGCACATTTTTTTACTGAATGTACGTATCTTCTCAGCTGATAGAATTTTGTACGGAAAATAGTCTTTTGATTTTGTACAGAATACATAATATAGTCATTTTGATTTTGTATAGAATACTTGATTTTTGGAACCGCATAACACACCAACCAATATCTAGCTGTATCACCCATTCACACCTTCAGCTCACCGGACCCTGTCTGCAAGATGCACTCACATTTTTGACACGCAATGACACAACCATCAATCTATTACTAATGGCAGAGGTGCACTGATCTTTTTTTGCAACCCTACTGCGTCGCCATCATGCGGCTATACAACCTGGTTCAGCATAGGAATGGACACGCATGCGCACTAAAGGACAAGGGAATAAGGCCACTCCAGTTTATGGTCCTCCGTCCGCACCAATTTCAAGAGAACGCGGTTTTGGTTGTTATCAACTGTGCATGCTGTGCTGTGTGTACTAATGCCTTTACACGTATCTCGTTTTTACTGTCTTCCCACTAGTGAATTTTTGTGGTCATTATTACTAAGTGGACTAATACATAATGAGTAAAACCCGCTTGCCCCATCTTGACTTTAAGAGGCCCTGACCAGAAACGCACAAGCAGCTTAGCTTGTTTGTTAGGTACATAAATCTGCAAGAGCAGAAAATTGTTGAAGAATTTTTAGAGATAAAATGAATTGTGCGCAGCGAGGGTTACAGTATAGCGCGCACGCGTCATGTCAATTAATCGCCGGAGCATGCGCTACGCCACGTTGGTGGTATATGATCCACGGCCTCCTGTAAGTTTTGGATAAACGATAAACATGCTGAGCAAGGTATGTTCGCAATATAGCATATTAGTTCAGGTGGCGAGCAGTTTGTGGTTGCGGCCTTGCCTTCCCATCTATAAAACGTCTGGCGAGAGCATTGAAACACAGAAGAGCGGATAGATTGAATAAAGCAAATATGAGAGCCTCTGAAACACCTGAGCTATTTATCTAACCGCTAATGCAACTACCATGTGTTACGGTGAGACTCGTGTTATTGGCTCCGTCGATGACGCACGGCCCAGCATACAGCGATGCTACAACTCGCTAGTTTACCGCCGGGGGTTTGCACTTTAGTGCTTTTCATTTACAGCAGTAATGGATGCATTGAATAAGAAGCTACTGACGATAGTTTGCCAGCTGAGAAGCTTGTAGGATTAACAACAGATGGGGCATCAGTAATGGTATCAGAGAGAGGTGGTCTCTATGGGATATTAAAGCAAACGGTGAATCCCAAGCTGTTTTTGACCCACTGTCCTCCTCACCGTCTTATTCTGGCCTCAAAAGCAGGCCAGAAAGTACTCCGAGGTGACATCGAAAGAACGGTGTCTGATGTGCTTTATTTCTACAAAGACAGCTCTGTGCGGCGTGATGAATTCCATTCTCTCAAAGAATTGGTTGAACCCAATAGTCCGTATATTGCGCTTGTTCACATCGAGTATGGTGGCTCTCATTCTCTGATTGCGTTAGTCGCCTTGTTAAATTGTTGCCCATATTTTGAAGAGCAAGCATTGGACACTAGTAATAGGCAAGAGGTCCACACAAAATGTAGATCCCTCCATAGCCGACTGTCTGAACCAAGATTCCAGCTATTCTTGTTCTTTCTGGAACCCCAATTAGAAGTTCTTGCTAAAATGAGTAAGTGGCTTCAGAAATCTTCACTTTCTTTGCATGAAGTATACAGCAAGATCAAGGCGTTGCTGTCAACCTTTGTGCAACCTATATCATTGGATGTTACCAAGAGCATTACAGATTCTACCAATGTTCGCTGTGTCGATGAAGCAGTACCTCTCTTTCCAGCACAGATTTTCAGCAGCACTGCTTGCAATGCCAAGAACATGCTCTCCTAACTACTTCACAGTTGAGTACAGCCGGTAAAGTAATGTATGACTACATACAAAATTTCTGAATCACTTGAAAAGCGTTTTCCAGAGATTGACTTCATGGTTAATAACACAGCATTCTTGAACCTCCACTGAGGAATTTACAACAACAAGATAGGCAAAGATGCTCAACCGTTATGGGCAAGAAAGTGGCCCTGTTACTTTCCCTTTAGACAGGGTAATCATGCAATTTCGCCTCTACCAGAATGACTCTTCTATTGATATACAGTTTAGCGCATGCAACAAAGATCCGGTTGTATTTTGGTGTCAATTGCATGAGGTAGGTGACTATAAGGAGCTAGCCTCTCTCACTCTTCTTCTACTCTCAATATCTCCTATGCCAGTCCTTTGTGGACAAGGATTTTCAACCATGAACTACATTAAAAAATTAGTTTAGATCACTTTAATCACAAGAAAATTTAAATGCCTGTATGTCTCTCGGCATGATATCACATAGTGTTCATACTTTCCTTTTCATACGTTCTTACTAGGTCAACACTTTAAGCCACACTTTTGATTGAAGATTTCTTGTGAATTACTGTGTGCAGACTAAGAACCTGATCAAGCAGCATATTATTATAGCAGATGACAGGAGAGCCAGACAGTCTCGAGGTAAAGTGATGAGTCCACCTGCCACCACCAACAGTCATCAGAGTGTGGGGTGGTGGGAAAGAGGGAGAGAAGGAGGGGAGAGGGAAGGGTGAAAGGAAAAGTCCTGCTCAAAGTGCAAGTTCAACATGCAGACTACAGGTACATGTACATTAATTGAACACCGTAAAACTCCATGTTTTTTTATCTTTTAATACTCAAGTACTGAAGAATATCTGCTTACAATTAAAACTGAACTTAGTGCATGCATGTACACACACACACACACACACACACATGTCAAGAGAGCACTATCCTCTTGGGACAGAATGTTTGTACATAGGGTTTATTACAAGCACATGTACGTGCATATCGGGCTCTTTTCCATACGTACCACATGTACAGATTTGTCTGCCTAATGGGAAGGTTCTCCGTCACTCTCTCCCAGCCACTGCCCTCCTCTCTGAGGTGGCTGAGTTTGTCACCACCAACAAACCTCGTCTAACTACCCTCTCTCTCGTTCAGGTACACTCTCTCCTTCTCTCTTTCCTCCCATTACTTTTTAAATCTTCACTGCATTATCCTTGTTCTCAGTTGATGTCCACAACCTTTCCTTTGAACATTCAGACACATACGTACAATGTACACATAGTCCTCTGTATGATGTGTCAAGTACTGCACTTAACCCTTTTCCATAAAGACTCTGAGTCAGTGTGAGATAAAGCCAGTTTTCTTCCCTTACACCCTCCCTCCTTCCCTACCTCACTCACTCTTATGTATCCTTCCCCTTTTATACATGTACTTCCCTCCCTCCCTCTCTCTCTCAGCCATTCCCTCATCATCAGTTCTCTGAGGAGGAAATGACTCAGTCTCTCCTCTCTCTCGGACTCTGTCCCTCTGCCTCTCTCGTCGTACCCAGACAAACCAGTCAATCCAGTTCTGCAACCAGTCAATCTGGGGGTCCAATAAACATACCTCATTCCTCAAGTGGACAATCTGGCTCAGAAACAGGAAAAACCGGTTCTTTAGCCAGCCACTCTGGTAATAAAACTAGTCAAACTGGTTCTTCAACTAGTCAATCCAGTAGTGTTGAAGTATATACCTGATAGACCCTCTATGTCTGTGCAAGCACATGGTCATGTGTTAGGAGGTAGAGAGGATCCAGAAGCTGAAGAAATGGATGTGGAGAGGGTTAATGTTGAAATTCAACGGCATAGTGGTGAAGGAGTTAATGAACCGGCTGATGTCAACATGCAAGAAGACGAGTCTCATTCACATTCTGATGATGATGAGATGGAACCAGAATCAGACGATGACAACATGGGTCCACCGCCACTAAATATGAAACATGCCCCCACGACCAAAGCTCAGACCCCCAATTGGAGCAAATTTGTTCCCCCATTTCCCCAGCCGAGACCACATTTTGGCGGACCACGACCCCAACATCATGGACCCCCCATTGGAAAATTTCCTGGGTCCCCCCCCTCTGGGGGGCGGGGACCTATTTGCGGGAGAGGGACACAAGTTGGGAGGGAAGGAATAGGCTATTCTGGAAGATGCCCAACTCCTTAGGGAGCAGGGAGGTGTGTGTGTGTGTGTGTGTGTTGTGTGATGGTAAAGAAACATAAGGAAGGGAAATAAGGAGAAAGAAGGTAACAGAGTGACAGGGTTGGGAGGGCTTTTGTCCACATTACCTGGGCGGCAACCCAGTGTCCATGCGATCCTAGCCTTGAGGCGCTGCCACACAGCAACCACGCATGCGTTCATGAGTTGTAACATACATTATGCAACAGTTTTTTGGCCGGTCATCAGGGAAGTACCTATTTCCGTCATTGTATGACAACGGGTTTCGGTCCCTTTAACTTTCCGACCCGAGGTCAACTCTGGAATAGGCGGGACCACTCCCCAGCAAGGAGTCCGGCATAAAATGTATACTTATACTAGTGTCTATGTTTTATACTGTATATCTGTATACTTATACTAGTGTCTATGTTTTATAGGGAAGGAATAGGCTATTCTGGAAGATGCCCAACTCCTTAGGGAGCAGGGAGGTGTGTGTGTGTGTGTGTGTGTGTGTGATATACAAGGCTACATGTACATGTATATTGCTGTTACACATGACATGATACATACATATCAATATACATGTATATGCAGGTCGAGTTGCTGCCAGTAAGAGGGCTAGACTCTTGGAGTGTCCTCAACAAACTGATAGCGGTACGTACAATGTTTACATGATGTACTATTGAGATCTACATACATACTCCAGTCAATGTCTCTCTGGTATAATATGTATGTAGCTCACCAACATCTTGTCTCAGTCCCGTCGCTGGTATGTATCTGTACTCGTACTCTCGCTGGACTCACGGTCAGCTACGGCCTCCCCTCTTGTACCTCTTTCCCTCCTGTCATCGCTCACCTACTGATCGATGCACTTCAAGCTCAGGGAAGCCTCAACACCAAGACACTGGCTGCCTTCCATGGATAGTATGTACATGTATGTACACACATAGAATCACATAAACTCTCTGAAGCACCATAGACTGTAGGATATCACACACAAACCTGAGTATAACTCTCTCAGGACACACCCTGAAATGAGGGCAACTAACGGGACAGTTTTGATGACCTCTACATGTACATAAATTGTACGTGTAATTTAAAATGCTATGTGTGAATGTGAATATCCACTCTACCACATACTGTAATATGGCTGTATTGTCTGTATACAGCCCCCCTGCAGAGTATGGTACTGGACAACTATCCCTATGCTACCAATGAACTAGTCGGTGCACTGTGGTAAGTCAACACGTGTCACAACTTCTACAGTACATGTTATACATGCGTACATCTCTACATATATCATCTAGTGTGTGTGTGTTTGTTGGGGGTGATCGAGGAGAAAGGGAGGGAAAGGGGGAGAAAGGAAAGTGACCAAACACAAACACAATGAGACCAGAGGCTGGGAGACCTTTGTACACGCGGCAGCTTAGTGGTCAAAATTACATGTATTTTTAGATTTACCAGGGCACCCATTTCTGCTTGTGCAGCCCTAGCCTATCACATTGTAATTACACAGTCTCACTCATACAAACACAAGAGCAGGACATGGATGCCCAGCCTTGAGAACTGGGGACGGTGGGTTAAAGATCTTTGATGGCTAGCCAACTCTCCCCACACATCCAATGTCACAGACCCTCGTGCAAAATCTACAAGTAGTTACAATCACATACCTTAGGCTCTCTGGGGGACTTGCAATCCTATGGTTCTACTAATGCACAGTGGGGTATTTATAGGGAGTTGTGATGTCATAATTATAGGTATGGAATTTCCTAAGGGGGAAGTGGGTTTGCTACTCTACGGTCCTGGGTGATGTATTTTACTCTAGTGATAGTCACAAGTGGAAAAATGGTGTGTGTGTGTGTACAAGCAAGAGCTAAGGTAGATGAGACTAGAAAAGTGGTAGAATAAGGCAGCTCTCTCTCTCGTGTGTGTGTAAAACTCTTCATTGTTTTGGATATACAAACAAACAAACAATGAGGTGTGAGGTGCACCCAGGCAGAGCTCTAGGCACATATGTGCCGAGCATTGACCTGGCCTCACTAGTACTAACATACATACACACAGAAGCTAATTGATGAAGTCAGGTGAGTCAGGTAACATGGTTCCTAGAGCCCCAGATGTAGAAGGAACCTAAAATGGTCGTTCTTGTAATCAGGAGACACGCGGAAGTGCACTCCTTTCTTGGTGCATCTGTAGCCTCACGTAGCAGGTCGAAGTCTGCGTCGCCCAACATCCTTCGTGATCCAACCACTAGATTCAAACTCTCTCTCGAACTCCCTAACATCAACAGTTCAGGAAGTAGCTATGACATCACCATAGACATAACATAGTAAGGGACCCCGAAGAGCCTGCTGCCGCAGCCACCGACGGGGTGGTCGAGCCGCATATTCCGTCTCTGGAGTCGATCGCCGATAAACCGCTGTCACGCTCTGAATCGCAACACAGTGCATATAACAGCCTTACCTACCATGCCATAGTTCAGTCAGTTGTATCAAGCAGTGAGAGAGAAAGAGGGAGAAGAGACGGGGAACAGAGAGTGAAAAAGAATGTATGTTCAACTACATGTAATTGATAGCAGACCTAGTTATGTAGACAGTCTCTGTGGTGTAGCAAAAAATCGTTAGCTGTTGCATGTACCCCTAGAACTCCAATACCATGTAATCATGTCACGTGACGTAACTAATATGGACTCCATTCGGGTGGAGTGGCCTCGCCCTTTCCGGAGTGTCTATCATTTCGGGAGTTTAAAGAGGCCGAAACATGTTTGAAACGATGAGGGATAGGGAACTCCCCTGATGACCAGTAGAAGTAACTAACAGCCTGATGGCACCGCATCTGTGTGGGCATGCTGGACTTGTGCATAGACATACATGTACATTTTGGCACCTGGACGGCTGCATGCGGTGACGCCGACAAAAGCCGCCCACCCTCTCTCGTTAGCTTTAGTCCTGCCTTCACTTTCCTTCTTCCCCAATCACAAACACGCACACACAAACACGCATACACATACACACGCACATGCGCACATGCACACCCACACACAGGCTGTGTGTCGATGGAGAGCCTCAATCTCTCACATGTGAAGGCCACAGATCGAGGCATCAGTCTTCTCCTCCACACTCCCCTCACTCACCTCACAAACCTCACACTCTCACACCAGAATCACCTCTACCACACTCACTGCTCTACCTCAAGGTCAGTGTGAAGTGTACATATTATTTGCATGCTTGTTTGTGTCTATTATGTGTGATTAGCCTTGGTTCCAAGCGTTTTTCCACCTCCGCAGAATTACACGCCCACATAATTATTGTCCACATAAACAAGGGAGAGCCTGGAACCAAGGCTACATTGTATGTCTGTAGGTGCTTGTGATTGGAATTTAAAATCGTCTAGGTAGTTGAGAAATTTTACATGTGTATACATGCAACTACACATGCTCTCATGCCTAGTAGCCTCAGTTCCAGACGTTCCCTTTTCTTTACAGCGCTATTGTGGTAAAGAGTAGATAACAGGTATATGTAGGGGGAAGGCTTGTTGTGGAGGCTAACGTACATGTGTGTGCATTGATCGTTACACGCAACTGACGTGGGTCAGTTTGTATGTACTCTTCATTCACTCTCTCTTCTTGTATACTCTCACAGGATCACCAGCTCTGGAAGAGCTTGGTAACATTAACATGTAGTGTGTACTCAGACTGTGGCCATACGTGTACATGATGCATATTGTTTTTCCTTCTTCTTTCGCCACTTTTCTATCTCACTAGAATGTGTGTTCTGATTGATTAGCCTTAATTGTCCCCAGACACTCTCCCTACGTATGTGTGTAATTATTAATTTAGTGACCTCGTGTAACTTGCAAGCATGCTGGGATTTTTCCGTGTGCATGTGTTTATGTGTATATAACCCTCTCTCTGAGCTCAAAATATACTGATGCTCTCACAGGATCACCAGCTCTGGAAGAGCTTGCTATTGAAGCTACTCAGGTACATTAACATGTAGTCAGACTGTGGCCATACGTGTACATGATGCATATTGCTTTTCCTTCTTCTTTAGCCACTTTTCTATCTCACTACAATGTGTGTGTTCTTATTGATTAGCCTTGTCCCCAGACACTCTCCCTACGTATGTGTGTAATTATTAATTTAGTGACAAAATATTGCTCACTGTGACTGCGGCTACGAAGTTGGCTCGTTGAGTGGGTGTGGTCAACTCAACTCCCTCAATTTATCAGGAGTGTCAGTACCATCAGACACTGGAACAGATCAAAAGTATATACAGTACCTTATCCCAGTCTCCTCTTACTATCTCAGCATAAGGAGTAAGGAAGGGTACTAGAATATTGTCCCATGACTATTTTGTTCTCTTCACATGGTGTGCCATCATGTGACAATAAATACTCCCCTATATCCCAGTAATGGCTTCTTTTTTTTTTTTTCTTTTTTCAGGGGCCAGAATAAAGTGTCCTGAATAGTGAGGTGTCCTCATTTCAGAGATTGTTAAGTACACAAATGTGGTATTTGGGACTTGTCAAAGTGTCCTGTTTATAGATGTGTCCTCCTTTCAGAAGTGTCCTGATAGAGAGGTTCCACTGTAGTAGTCTATGGACATGCATGCAAAACCGATGCACAGAAATCCCTAAGTTCAGCACAGTGTGGCATGATATCCACCATTACTGCCACACATGGTAGAGGAACTAGGAATCAATGAAAAAAATAGTCTGTCATTGTAACTGTTGTTTGCATACTTAGTGTCTGTCATTGAATAAACAGCTGTTGTTTAGTAATATGAGGCCCATCCACCCAGGGTGTTGTTTTTTTGTACGTACATGCAGTTGACTCTGCCCAACTGCATAATTCTTATAGTGAGATATTTTCGCTTTATTCCCTGTGTGCATGCGCAACTAACACAACATTTGTAAGAGATAATGTGTGATTTATGGGAACGAGGGTGTGGTCGAGAGACTCATACAGTCACGAGACCACAACCCGAGTTCCCATAAGTCATGTATAGAACGATAGGACGCACATTATGTGTTTTATTGTGACTCTGTAGCAGTCGTCGACCTCTAGCGAGAGAAAAACGACTGCGTAGCCTATTACCCATGCGCACGTGCGCACTCGAGCGAGTTCTCTGTTCTCGAGGCTACGGTAATCGAACAAGGTCGTGATGGTGGCTCTTTCTCCCTCAGAGAAACTCGTTTCATAGGTCGCTGGGCCGTTTGACCAGTCGGTGTGCCGCGGCCGCGGTCTCGCTTGCAACTGGGAGCTGAATGAAGGGGTGTGGTCGTCTCAGCCATCCATCGCCTCTACAGACTCTACAGAACTGTCATCCCTCGCCTCTGAAGTTTTTGTCTACACTATGGGTACGATGCTGATGCTAGTTCAATAATCCTTTTTTTTTGAACGTTCAAAATTATTGAACGTGTGCTACAATACAGGAAATAAGAGTATGCGCGGCTCCTTTGATCCGCCCACGCAAGTCACAATTATATCGTTTTGAAAT